ATGTATATACCTGCTTATTAGGGCTTTCAGGCCCCCCTAAGCGGTGTTGTTCTATACAAAGCTGGCTTATTGCCCCCACAATCTGGGTCCTCAATTTACCTACTTCGAAAGGATGGAAGGCTGAGTCAACCTTGAGCCTGGTGAGATTTGAACTCCTACTAATTGCAGGCAGCTGGCAGCTAAGTGCTAGCACTTAACAGCACTTAGTCCGCTGCACCACCGTGGCTCTTACTTAAAACTGCATAAGCTATGGTTTGTTTTAATTGTGCTTTGATTATAGGCTTCCTACAACATGCTTAGCCAGAAGCAAACCAACCACTTTCCACTTTAGTAAAGCAAGGTGTTTAGAAATTCAGGGGTAAAAATAATCCTCAGATAGGCATGTTTATGCATGCTAAACATACACTTACAAAAATGGGTGACTTTGGGACGGTTGTGAAATGAGGGGCACTGAACATCCCTGCTGATGCTAGAATAAATCTCCCTAAAACCAATGGGAATGAAATCCTGTAGGACATCATCACTTGGGAGAATTGTGTTTTCTGTCTGGCTTCTGTTGAAACAAAATATTCCCACTGAGATAAGCAAGAATGAAAACAACAAGTTGACAATTAATAGACAATTGCATCATCTCCACACCACAGAAAATTACATAAAAGAACATCAACCATCCATAGTGGCCAAAAGTGTGGGTATATAGGTCAAGTAAATGCATGCAGATTTAAGGGCTTATTTGTAGATTTTGCTTTTGGATACCTCTCCCCCCCTCCCCCCAAGTTAGAGAGTATTAATAGAATGAAGGAAAATGTCCCAGGATAATGTTGCAGGATCCAATCTGGGTCGCTCACCAGGACCAGAGGTTTTGTCTTCTGAGCTTTCAGAAGTATGCTGGAGCCCATCTTTAGGCAAATTCTCTTTAGCAGTGTGTGTGCTCTTCTGTGTATGGCTGTTTTTGTGCCTGCTCGTCCAACAATCTTGGTAGCTGCAAAATTGCAAAAAAAAAAATAAAAAAATAGCCAGGCAAGTGATTGAAGCCTGGGAAACAGGCCCCTTGTCAGTCAATAGGAATGCTGAATTACCACCAGCCTATCAAGCACTTAGAAGGTGAGGGCTGGGCAGCACAAACAAAGGACAGCTAATGACTTAAAAGCCAGCCATCAACACACCCCAATCAACATCTAAAAAGCCACTCACAACAGGCACTATAAGTACCACACACAGAACAGTACACACTCTGCTCAGGGGTGGGTTCTAAATTTTTTTACTACCGATTCTGTGGGCGTGGCTTATTTTGTGGGCGTGGCTTGGTGAAGGGTAATGTGACTGGGTGGGCGTGGCCAACTGTTTTTTTTTTTTTTACTTTTAAAAGCATTTTTTCTACAACCTTAAGAGATTGCAGAAAAAAATGTTTTTAGGAGCCTCTGACGATCAGGCAACTCAGCTGGGATCACCAGAGGCTTTTAAAGGCTTTTTTTTTTCTACAACCTCTTCGGCCAAAGAGATTGCAGAAAAAATGCTTTCAGAAGCCTCTGACGATCCCAGCTGAGCCGCGCGATCATCAGAGGCTTTTTTTTTTAACTTTTAAAAGCATTTTTTCGGCTGAAGAGATTGTAGAAAAAATGCTTTTAAAAGTAAAAAAAAAAAAAAAGCCTCTGATGAGGTGGGCGGGGTAAGCGAGTGGTGACTAGGCCGGGGACCGGTTCGGTGGCGTGGCCAGCCAGTGTTATTACTAGTTCTCCGAACTACTACAAATTTTTACTACCGGTTCTTGTGAACCGGGAGCAACCCACCACTGACTCTGCTAGAGAGAAGATGGGCTCCAGCATGAAAGCTCAGAAGACAAAATCTCTAGTCCTGGTGACCGACCCAGATTGGATCCTGCAGTATTAATAGAGTCCTGGATTCAGACACCCCTAATAAGCTAGCTTGAGAGATAGGTTTCAATTCGAACCTTGGTGGCTACTAGGATTTAAAGAGTATTAATATATTTTGATTATTGATTGAAAGTCTTGGAGCTGAAGGACAAAATATGTGCTTTGTTCCCCATTTAATTCTTGGGCTATTCCCCAAAAACTAAAGTGTCTGAATTTATTATCACGTCTCACAATGGATAACAGTTGCTCTTCTGCTGACATAATGCCATTCTTTCTGTCTTTACCTTCTTTAACTTTCTCTTTATCCTCTTCAGATACAGGTAGCCTTTGACCAGTGGTGAAATGTAAAATTTGTTACTACTGGTTCTGTGGGCATGGCTTGGTGGTGGTGGTGGGGGGGGGGGGATAATGTGACTGGGTGGGTGTGGCCAACTTTTTTTTTTTTTTACTTTTAAAAGCATTTTTTCTTCAACCTCTTCGGCCAGAGGTTGTAAAAAATGCTTTTAAAAGCCTCTGACGATTCCAGCTGAGCTGTGCGATCATCAGAGGGTTTTTTTTTTACTTTTAAAAGCATTTTTTCGGCGGAAGAGGTTGTAGAAAAAATGCTTTTAAAAGTAAAAAAACGAGCCTCTGATGATCGTGCGACTCAACTGGGCATGGGGGGGGGCACAGGGATTTTTGCTACCGGTTCTCCGAACCACCCGCCACCATCGCTACCGGATCGGGCGATCCAGTCCAAACCAGGAGCATTTCACCCCTGCCTTTGACTTACAACAATTCATTTAGTGACCGTTTAACTTACAACAGCACTGAAAAAAGTGGCTTATGGTCTTTTTTCACATGACCGTTTCAGCATCCCTATGATCATATGATCAAAATTCAATTGGTATGTATTTATGACAGTTGTACTGTCCCAGGGCATGTGATCACAATTTGTGACCTTCCCAGCTGGCTTCCGACAAGCGAAGTCAATGCAGGAAGCCAAATTCACTTAACATCTGCAATGATTTACCATATTTTTTGGACTATAAGACACACCGGAGTATAAGACCAAGATTTTGAAGAGGAAAACAAGAAAACAAATAGTTTTTGGCCTCTGTCCGCGCATCTGGTTTTTGCCCTCCCTGGCCCTCAGGAGCACTCTACAGGCTTCCCAAACCCTCTACACATCCCGTTTTTGCCAAAAACGGCCTGTTTTTGGCATCCCAAAACTCCCACGCATCACGTTTTTGACCTCCCCAGCCCCCAGGAGCCCTCTGCAGGCCTCCCAAACCCTCTGGGCATCCCATTTTTGCAAAAAACGGGCCTGTTTTTGGCAAAAACGGGGTGCACACAGCGGGGTTTCGGGAGGCCAAAAATGACTGTGTTCGATGTATAAGATGCTCCAACATTTCCACCCTCTTTTTTGGGGGGAGGGAAGTGCGTCTTATACTCTGAAAAGTACGGTACTTAACAACTATGGCAAAAATGATTGTAAAATGGGGCACAACTCAGTTAACAATTGCATTGCTTAGGAATGGAAATTTTGGGCTCCATAAGTCGTGGTGATGAGGATTACTTGTACTTCAGTGGGAACTCTCTTCTGGTGAATGCCAGAATCTTGTTTGGCAACTCTCTTCTTGTTTCAGCCTATAGTAGATTCCACACAGCTGCTTTCTGGTTTCTTCCTTTTCTAGCCCCAACAAACTGTTATCACATTTGGGAATCTCTTCTGGCCAGCTTTGCATGGAACTGCTGGAACTTCTGGTGGGCTGGATTACTAATTACAACTTCTTTACATCTTTCATTTTCATGGATTAATTATGTACCATCAAGCTATTGTCGTCTCTTAGCAGCCACATAGATAGGATGATCTGTCCCCTGCCTGGCTCTTCAGATCTTCCAGTGGTGTTCCCATCTCCACTGTTTGAGTCCATCCATGTTGATGTTGTTTTCTTCTTTTCCTTCTAGCTTTCCCAGAATTATGGACTTGCCAAGGGATCTGAATTTTACATAGGTGCCAAAATGTAATTTGAACCATTGATGCCTCAAGCGAGAACTCTGAATCAGTTGTTCTATGGTCCATTTATTTGATTTCTTGGACACCTATGATATCCTGAAGAATCTTACAGTAAACTTCAAAAGCATGAATACTCTATCCTGCTTCTTCAAAGTCCAACATTCACTTTCATAGAATGTCACAGGAAAAATCCTTGATTACACACTTGATCTTGCTGGTAGACCTGTATCCGAATATCTTTTCCATGGTTTTCACAGCTATCCTGCCAAGTGCTAATCTAGTTTTACTTTCACACACATCTCTAGTAATTCTCCTTCATACTTATCCCCTCATTTTTTTGTTTCATCACATCTTATGAGCTGTGAGTGCTCACTTTCTTTTGATTTTGTATCTTGATTTTTTTTGCCTTTTTTCACTTTTCTTTTTACTCAACAGCCATCTTTTAGTTTAATAGATTAACAGAGTTGGAAGGGATCTTATGGACATCTAGCCCAACCCCCCGCTCAAGCAGGAGACCCTAAACCATTTCTGACAAATGGCAGTCCAATCTTTTCTTGAACGCCTCAAGTGATGAAGCTCCCATAACTTCTGAAGGCAAAGCTGTTCCATTGGTTGATTGTTCCCACTGTCAGAAAGTTCCTCCTCATTTCTAGGTTGAATCTCTCCTTGGTCAGTTTCCATCCATTATTCCTTGTCTGGCCTTCAGGTGCTTTGTAAAACAGCTTGACCCCCTCATTATTGAAAATGTTCTCACAACCAGCAACCTCCTACTTATCCAATAGCTATTCCACAAGATCCCAACTGTCCCTGTTTAATACTTCTTGGCTCCTCTGTATCTCTGTATAGAACAAGACATGAACTGTTGGCAAGCTATCCCAACAGATGGCTAATGAGTTTGTTTAATTTACAGCAGAGCCATTCAAAGGTTCATTGAAAGAAATTGGTTTGTTCCCTAAGTTGTTTTTTTTTTAACTTTTCAATTTGGACCATGGTTTTGTGATTTCCTTGTGCTCTTTCACGCACCAAACCCAATCCTTCTTAGCAACCATGACTAAGATCAGTTGAGCTGCTACTTGCTGTGGTACATATTTTTACAATTATGATAAAAAAAATAAAAGACACTAACATTCAATAAACACTTTTATTTAGAATTTGCAGGAAGTACAGGAAATTCTCTAATTTAAATTGACATTGATTAGGGAAATCAAACAAGGGGGAAAAGTTAAGACATGTCAGAATTCTGGACTGGTTCACTCAATACTTTAATTAATAATGTGGATGGTTTAAGTTAACGTGACATATCAAGTCAAACACTTTTTATAATTATTCCATAAACCATAACTAGAAATCCACGCAACTAAGCCAGCCACATAGAAAACACTACTAATTCCAGTTTGATGAATTTTGTGCTTCATTAAAACCGATATCATATGTTCCAAAATTGTATACTTGAGAACAAAACAATTGTTGTAAAGCAGTTCTCCTAGCACCCTCCAAATCTGTTGGATTAAAATTTCCAATCATTATTGAATGATTGGAAATCATTCCAATCAGATTCTGGATTTGAAGCAGTTCAAACAGTCTGGCTATGAGATTTACAACAAACAGGAATAGAGGCCTTTCAGCTCTCTTAAATATTGCTTAAAAGTTTCCAACCATGCAGCTCCTTTCCTAGGTCTTTTAAATGTTTCCTTTCTCATATTTGCTCCTTTTGCCCATCTTCCTAATTCTGTATTTTCTACTTACTCTCTTATTCTATATCTGAGCTACTAATTATCTAATTCCTTCTCTTCCACTAATCATTACGCTATCTATTTTTAAGAGACAACCTCAGTCCCAACTGGGTTGCCAATCTGTAATAAGAAAAGGCAACTATGAAGCAGGTGAAAATGATTACAAATGTATTATTACGAATTAAATCAGATTGTTTTTGTCCTGCTCTGCTACTTTCTGAGTGACATTCCTATCCTGGTATTCAATGGTCAAATGGAACTCTCCTTCCAAACAATGACACCCGTTTTCAAGCAAAATTGATCAGAAATCCCAAGTTAAATAACCTCAAGGGAATTTGTGTAATGTCCCCTTGGATAATGGGACAAAAATGAGATACATCATACAGTGGCTTGGAAGATGAAAGGCCTGGAATTTGAGGCAAAGAAAATGTCTATTCTCGAGTAAACGTAATGGCAGCTCCAAGCTTTGAGCCAAGCTGAGGGGTATAGTCAGAATACTCCATATAATTCATGTCTATAATTTTTGGCAACAACTCTGTAAGGTACGTGATTTATTAAAATATCATATTTATTTATGAGTGTGTTGTGCAGGCAATTAAGTAAACTGGATGCAATTTTAAAACAAGTAGTAGGAGCATGGGACTAGATTGTGTCTGAAGGTCCAGTCAAGTGTCTCATATTACCTATAGCATATGCCTGGTTTGGATAGAAGAATTAGAGAGGTAGAAAGGAGGGCAACATAGGGTGGAAACAAAGCTCTAAGTACTGAGCCTTCATTTGGGGACATGAATCACCACAATGCAAATTATCTCTTTTCTGTTTGCATTCTATTCCGATACATAATAGCTAGGACTACTTCCCTGATTTCAGGACATTCAAATCTTGCAATGTGAATTGTTTTGTAATCCCAACAAAAAGCCTGCCAAATCCATCAGGGTTATTCCTCCCTACACAGAGTCTGAAAGTAAGAGAGAGAAAGAGAGTAAACTGCCTCAAGAGTTTTGAGTAAAAATATGCAAATGTGATTTTTCAAGATGTAGGTCAGTAATTTAGCACTGATTCCTGACCGTAAGGAAATTGTGGATTGCCTTTTGCAGTGTTTTTGAGTAACAGGGAAGGATTTCATTCCCCATAGACGTGGGGCCAACCTGGAGAGGTTTAAAGTAAACATATACACATTCATGGACATCAGATGAACAACAGCTCCTTACTATAGTGATTAGATGGTTCCTTCAGGCTCTAGAAGTAGCTTTTGGTAAGAACCTAAATGACCATTTTGGGAACCAAGGGTAGACCAGAACAGCCTCTGGTCTGTTCTTTATAAGACATGTTGGCAGGAATGGGGTGGTGGAGAAAAAAAAGACACAATATTCATTCATTTTCTAACTTCCATCCCATGATGGGAGCTGCCATTTTAAAATATACCACAACGCCAAAGGACCGACATTCTACGAGGGAATTATGGGAAATGCAAAGGGCAACTTCCAGCACCAATCAGAGGGCTGCTGCTAGTGAAGTCCACGAATGGAAGGCAACATTCTTCAAAAGCTCTTTCCAGAGCTTCCCACCTTCAAACCTGAAACCAACCCCAGCAAAGATGTTGGGTTTGCATGTTGCATTGGGCCAAAAGATGGTTTCTTTGGTTTTGGTACATTGTACTAATCTGGCCAAGTGTGGTTTATAGAATAAACCACAGTTGGCCAGATTAGTGCAATTAGTACAACTAATTAGTACAACATTAGTACAACTATAATGAATAAACAGTGTCTTAGGGCACATTATGCTAACCTGGGTAGTTGATGCCTGTAAAGGCAGCAGCCTTAGATAATAAGAAAGGTGCAGCATTAAGGTTGCTGCTTTCTAGGCAGGAGCACCACCCGCAGGAAGGCAACAGGAAACCCAGAGGCAGAAGACAGCCTTGGCCACCTGCTTCGGTCAAGGAGGAGCAAGATAAACTGGCCACCTACTATCAGAAGTGATCAATTGCATTTTAACCCTAGTAATAACAACTTACAGATACTCCTTGACTTAACAGCCACAAGTGGGGCCAGAATTTCCATTGTTAAATGCCAAAGATGAGTCATTTCCAAATCTAACCATTTTGCCACAGTTATTAAGCGAATCACTGGAATTGTTCAATGAATAAGCAAAGTCCAGCTTCCCCCATTAACTTTGCTTGCCAGGCGTCAGGTGGGATCGCATGATCCTGGGACCCTGCAAAACTGTTGTAAATATATGCCAGTTGTCAAGCACCCAATTTTTGATCACCTGGGGATGCTGCGACAGTTGTTAAGTGCAAGGACCAGTCGCAAGCCACTTTTTTCAGGGCCATTATAACTTTGAATGGTTGCTAAACGAATGGTTGTAAGTCGAGGACTATTTGTATTCAGAAAAGAGGCAGAGAAATGCCTGCTATCCTTTCCCCAACTTCTGTTCCAAGGGTTGTTCTTTTTTTTTTTTTTTTTGGTGTGTGTATATGTGTGTGCAGAGGAGGATAAATAACCATTTATCCTACTTTTCCTGTTCTCTCCTTTCCAAGTATGTGCTAAAAAGATCCCTGATCTCCCGGGCATGTGGGTTGGACATGTACATCAGCTGTCTTTCTGGCTGCTGGTAAGATCTTGACACAGACCTCACCACCTCTTCCCACCCTTCCTGCTGAGGTTCCCCTTTGCTCTCACAGATGTTGTGCAAAATGCAGCAGGCTACAATGACCCGCGGGGCGTAGCGTTCTCGCACATCGAGGCGGGAGAGGAGGCACCGCCAGCGGCCCCTGAGCCGCTCAAAGGCATAATCCACCACTGTCCGGCAGTGGCCAAGTGTGCTGTTGAAGAGCTGTTTTCGGGAGTCCAACTGGCCGCTGTAAGGAGTCATTAGCCATGGCAGAAGAGGGTAAGCAAGGTCTCCTAAAATGACTGGCTTTACTTGCTCTCCCTCTATGTCCATTGTAGTGTTAGGACCGAAAGTGCCTTGATTCATGGCCCGGAAGATGGGGGAGCTGCGAAAGATCCTGGCATCATGAACTTTCCCAGATCGCCCAGCATACACATCGATGAATTTGCCTTCATGATCCACCAGGGCCTGCAGAACCATCGAGTAATACCCTCGGCTATTGATGTATTCCATGGCTCGGTGAGCAGGAGCAATGATAGGGATGTGGGTTGCATCAATCACCCCAATGCAATGAGGGAAACCTTTGGCTGAAAAGCCTTTTATCACCTCGCGGGGCTTGGTCAGAAGAACCACATGGTGATAGACATCATAAAGAGCTTGGCAAACTTCCATGACTATCCTGGAGACAGTGGAGCGCCCAACGCCGAAACACTCTGCTACCGAGCGGTAGCTATCTGGGGTGGCCAGCTTCCATATGGCTATGGCCAGCTGTTTTTCAACAGTAATGGGGGCCCGCATGTTGGTTGTCTGACGTTCAAGAACTGGCCTCAATCTGTCACACAGCTCCATGAAAGTCTGCCGACTCATCCGGAAGTTCTCCTGCCAAAGGTGGTCATCCCAATGGGGCAGCACCACCTTTTCCCACCATTCGGAGCGACCCGGCTGCACCCAGAAGGCCCGCTCCATGATGTAGAGTTCGTCTATCAGTCCAGCAAGAACCGCCGGGGACTGGAAGAGGCACGAACACATCATGGCGCGCAAAGAGTCAATGCTGGTTTCCACCACTGCTCGGAGGCGCACGGCAGCTGCATTTTCCACCATCTGCTCAAGCTCCAATAGGTCACGACGATGGCGGGGCAGAAACGTCCGACGGGTAGCCAAACGGCTGAAAAGTTGTGACTGGATCCCGACAACGGTCTTGACAGCAGCTACAGCAGCTGTGGCCACAGTGACGGCCGCAGAGGCCACCTTGTCACCGGCAACAGTAACTTCTGAAAGTCAGAAGAGAAGCAGGAGGAAACTTTTTTTAGACAACAAAGATCAGCCCATCTAACTGAAAAACTGTCCAGATTCTCAACTAGCACTTCAGCTGATCCTTTTAACACTCCACCATACGAAACAAGACCCCTGTGATTCAGCCAACAGAAAACAGTGGCATTCTTTGCTTTTCTGAAATCATCTCAAGTAGCCTGATGATTTTTTGGGGGGGAGGTCACCTTCTATCACTTACAAAGACAGTTTATGTTTCATGCTTTATTCTATCCACTGAACAAGTTATCTGCAAGTATGAGTTTGGAATTCCAAAGGTGCTTTTTCAGAAGGCAACTAGACTTTGTTGTTGTTTTTCTTTGAAGACGTTTCACTTCTCATCCAAGAAGCTTCTTCACCTCTGACAGGATAGTGGAGAATGGAAAGATTTATATTCCTTGCAGACAGCTGGTCATTTGCTTCCTTTTAGAGCTGTGATGGTGAACCTATGGTATGGCACACGTGCCACAGGTGGCACGCATAGCCATATCAGTGGGCACGCCAGCTCAGTTCTGGTTCGCATGCACGTGCTGGCCATCTGATTTTCAGGCCTTCTGGGCCCACTAGAAGTAGGGAAACAGGCTGTTTCCTGCCTCTGGAGTTGGAGAGGAAGGCCTGTTTTTCTTTCTCACCTGGCTCCAGATCCTCTCTATGCATCTGGGGAGGGCGAAAACTGCCTTCCCCACCCCCTTGTTTTTTGCTATCCCCAACCCCCAGAGCCTTTCTAGGAGTATCTGGAGGCTGGGGTCAGCAAAAAATGTCACTTTCTGTCCAACCGGGAGTTGGGAAATAGGCTGTTTTAGGCCTCCAGAGAACCTCCAAGGGGGTGGGGAAGGCTGCATAGAGAGGATTTGGAGCCAGGTGAGAAAGAAAAATGGGGCTATCACGTGCCAGGAGCGGGGGAGGGGGGGTTGCACGCACATGCGCAGGGCAGGGCGCATAGAATTATGGGTGTGGGCACGCACGCACGTGAACCTCCTCCGCCCACCCCCTTCCTGGCACGTGATGGCAAAAAGGTTAGCCATCACTGTTTTAGAGGGTTACTGAAGCACTTGGAAGTTTATCTGGGTCCTAAGTAGTGCTCCTGGTTCCTGCAATCTGCAATTTTTGGGGAAATCCATTCCTACTCCCACACCATTTAAAGGGTGTTCATCCCAAATTGTCAGAGCTGAATCCTGTCAGAGCTGAAGAAGTTTCTTGGATGAGAAGCGGAACATCTTCAAAAGAAAAAACAAGAAAGTCCAGTTGCCTCCTGAAAAAGCACCTTTGGGACAACCATGACCTGGATGACTGAGAATGTCTACAGACTATGAGTTTGGAATCTTTTATTTCACAGTTATTATACTGGGAGAGCCAGCTTGGTGCAGCCTTCCCAGGCTAGAAACTGGGAAACCATAATTTTTAGTTCTGCCTTAGGCACAAAGCCAGCTGGATGACTTTGGGCCCCTCATTCTCTTTCAGCCCTAGGAAAGCAGAAGTGAAGGTGGCAAACCACTTCTGAAAAACCTTGCTGACAAAACTAAAGGGAGTCACCAGGAATCAACACTGACTCCAAGGCACTGAAAACAAAAAACCCCGGATAGCAAAGCCATCTGCCATCTTAGCAAAATTTCAAACTTATTCCACTATCACTTTATAAGAACTCATCTGGCCGTGTAGACTTCAATATATCTACAAAGCAACAAGTTAGAGAAGTGCGAAACCTACCTCATCTATGGATTGGTATTAAGATTTGTCCTGTATCATTTTGCACTTGGGGAAGGATGCAAGAAAAACAAGAACCCATTCCTTCAAATCCTGGGAAGTCAATGATGGGCAGACTAATTATCCTTCAGCAGACAAACTCAGAATGATTCACAGAGTTATCATTTAAAAACACTGTTATGGTTTTCTATCCACGTCTTTACCTGAACTGGTTTCATTTCTCACTGTCTCTTCTCCAGTGCTCTGGGAATCTGGATTTTGTATTTCTTCCTCCTTCTCCATCCTAGATCTTAATTTAGACTTTAAGATAGGAAATCCTAAATAGAAAAGGATAGTTAAAAAAAAAGAAATGGAAATGAAAACAGGTCAGAACTGCAATTAGACATGGAGACATTCCAGCAAACTGAGAATTTTCATGCATGGAATGTCTACGTGCTGAGGCAATCATGGATTGTATTTTGGGAGAAATGTTATATTTCCACATTCTGTAATTCATATACTGTACATTCAGGGATTTATAGTCCTAATGTACATGGATGCCAGTTTGGGGGAAGGTTTGATCGGGGCACTGAAGTAATCTTTTAAGGGATTGGAGCTAGCTGAGACGGCAAAATTGTTTTGGTTAGAGACAACAATTTAACTATATTTCTTGCAGCTTAGAGACTGTTAGATTTCCTACAGGAAAAGGAGAAAGCTGAAGTTTTGACGTTGAGATTTAATTATATTTAATTTGACTAGAGAAACATTGCGTGATGTTAAATGGCTATGATTTTTCTATAGTTAATAGGTCTTTTATGTGTTAAAATTAAATTAAGAATGTATGAGTATTGTTTTTTGAATGTTGGTTTTGAAGAAAGTTTTTGAAAGGCGGGGGCCATGCCGCGCAATTAAGATTCTGGAGAAAGATGATCCAGCAGGCAGGTATTAAAGCAAAGTCAGTGGTGCCAAGTTACTGATTTTCTGCTGTGGATCACCAAGATGAGTTCAAAACCCTTGCATTATAGGGGAGATGGGTGGCAAAATCAATCAATCAATACAACAGCAGCAACAACCACCAACTCTCACATTGTAGGGGAGATGGATGGATGGATGGATGGATAGATAGAATGGATAGACAGACACACACACAGACAGACAGACAGACAGGAAGGATGGATGCATGGATGGATAGAATGGATAAATGGATGGATGGAGGAATGGATAGATAGATAGATAGATAGATAGATAGATAGATAGATAGATAGAATGGATAGACAGACAGGATGGATGGATGGATAGATAGATAGATAGATATAGATAGATAGAATGGATAGATAGACAGACAGACAGGATGGATGGATGGATGCATGGATGGATAGATATAGATAGATAGAATGGATAGATAGACAGACAGACAGGATGGATGGATGGATGCATGGATGGATAGATAGAATGGATAGAATGGATGGATGGATGGATGGATGGATGGATGGATGGATAGATAGACAGACAGGATGGATGCATGGATGGATGGATGGATGGATGGATGGATGGATGGATGGATGGATAGATAGATAAATAGATAGATAGATAGATAGATAGATAGATGATAGATAGAATGGATAGATAGATAGACAGACAGAATGGATGGATGGATGGATGGGTGGGTAGGTAGGTAGGTAGGTAGGTAGGTAGGTAGGTAGGTAGGTAGGTAGGTAGATAGATAGATAGATAGATAGATAGATAGATAGATAGATAGATAGATAGATAGATAGATAGAATGGATAGATAGATAGATAGATAGATACATAGATAGATAGATAGATAGATAGATAGATAGATAGATAGATAGATAGATAGATAGATAGATAGAATGGATAGATAGATAGACAGACAGAATGGATGGATGGATGGGTGGGTAGGTAGGTAGGTAGGTAGGTGGGTGGGTGGGTAGGTAGGTAGGTAGATAGATAGATAGATAGATAGATAGATAGATAGATAGATAGATAGATAGATAGATAGATAGATAGATAGATAGATAGATAGATAGATAGATAGACAGACAGACAGACAGACAGACAGACAGACAGATCAGACAGACAAATAAAAACAGAGATGCGTGGGTGGATAAACAAACAAACAAATAAAACAGCAACAACAACCAGGCACAAACAGCCTTTGAAGGGAAGGCAGCTGCATCCCTCAGCTCTTGGCTTCTGCTCTTCAAATGCTGTGCCTTTGAGGCCGGGCATTTAAAGGGCAGCCCTAAGTTAACTCCAAAACTGCGGCCTTTGGGCATCGGCAGACCAGCCTCCCCTGCCTCGGCCTGTGGGGGGGGGGGGATCTCTCTCGGCAGGCGATAGAGGATGGGAAACAGCCGCCACAGACGACTCAAGCGAGACGGCCTTTCCCACTCTATACAGTACAAAGAAAGCAGTTCCTCCCCATCAGGAATGCCCTGCAATTTCTATATAGGCGACACACCGGATTTGCAAAGGCCGCATTTTCTCCTTGCGCGATGCCTCCAAGCCTTAATTTGCGCCCTTTTGTTTATTTTCCTCGCTCCCTCCCTCCCTGCTCCCAGGAGAAAAAGGGCTGCCCGGGTTGCCCTCGCAACCTCCGCCGCCAGAGAGGCGGATTCTGCCGACGGCTCCTTCCCTCCCTGCTTGCCTTGCGATTGTCGGACACAAAAAGGAAGCCTCCAGCTAGAGCAGGCGGCCGGCAGGCAGGGATCTCTCTGCCGGCGCTGGGAGAAGCGGAGGCTGCCGAGGTCCGGGAGGGGGAAAAAAAAAAAGAGCCTGGATTTGCCCGAACGAGCCCGACTTCAGACCCCGGTTATGGTGGCGCTTGTTCTTCCTCCTTGCAGCCTCGGCATCTCGGTTCCTTCCAGGTCCTAGAGGCAACGCTGAACAGGAAGTTTACGGCTGCTTTTGCAAGCCCTCCGCGGGGCCCACGGTGGCTTTGGAGGCCCCGCCGGCGATTCCGTCTCTCGCTCGGCTCCACATGCCACCAGGCCGCGGATTCCCAGCTGGTCAGCCTGGCTTATCTCTGGCGCTCCTTCCAGTCCTTCCAGAAGGCGCCAGCTGTTCCAGCTGTGTGGAAGTCTTGTAGAGATTCTCAGTCATCCAGGTCATGGTTGTCCCAAAGGTGCTTTTTCAGGAGGCAACCGGACTTTCTTGTTGTTGTTTTTTCTTTTGAAGACGTTTTGCTCCTCATCCCAGAAGCTTCTTCAGTTCTGACAGGACCTTCAGCTCCATTCCCTGCTATCCTGTCAGAGCCGAAGAAGCTTCTGGGATGAGGAGCGAAACGTCTTCAAAAGAAAAAAAAAACAAGAAAGTCCAATTGCCTCCTAAAAAAAACACCTTTGGGAATTCCAGCTGTGTGGTGTTAACGCTTGGATATGGTTTGGGAAGACCAAGGTTCACATCCACTCCCCAATTACAAACACTAGTCTTTAGGGCCGGTTACAAGCCACCCCAAAAAGCAATTATTATGGGGTTAGAATGAAAAGGAGATTTTCATGTAAAGTCATCACTTTGAGTCTCTGGAGAAAAAAAAAATGGGATGTACATCTCATAAATGGATAAAATGAGTGCCTGTCGTAATCATTATCTCCTGAGCGCTAATTGTGTTTCTTGGACCTGAGCAGACCTATAAGTCTTAGCTCTGAAAGGATGCACTTATCAAGCATTGTGCAAGGCATAACTAGAAAGAATTGGATGAGAAATTGGCCATCTGTGAGATGTAGTGTTCAAAGAGGCATAAATTATCATTTCTATTGAAGGCAGACTCTCCTCCCCTGGTAAGGGCTATCACTCGCTATCTTAAAAGGATGACAGCAATACGAGCCAGTTATATTGAAAAGAATTTCATTGATCGTAAGAAAGATGAGCTGAGTTAGAGAGGAGGTATCTTATTTGGGTTATCTAGTTTTGGAAATTTAGTTATTGAACTTTGATGTTGGTAAATTTTAATGTCATATATCATATTTTTAGACTGTTATTTCTGTAACTGTTTGTTTTATCTTTTTCTTTTTTTCTTGAAAAGGCCTTCGGGCTATTCAATAAAAGATACATCACATAGTGTTCAAAGACAAAACACACAGTGGACTCACGTGCAGTCCAAACTACACAATGGAAACACAAGTATTTGCATGGACAGAGGTCTCCCTTTGTGTTGGCAAGCATAGGTGTGTGTTTGCTTTTGGTGTAGGTCAGTAATGATGCTCTATTTCTTTCCTGAAGCTGAAGGACCTCCAGTTTCAACAACAACGGTAGGGGATAGGCTTGGGTAAGGTATCCTTAGTGGGCTCCCTCTTGTCATTATTACTACTATCGGTTTCAATTCACTGGATATGCAGTGATGCTAAAGATAGCTTCCTTGCCTAAAGACAGGATGCAGTATCTCCCTGTCATTACATGAACAAACTGCTAATATTTTTTTTGACACTGGCGCTGTCAACAACAGATGCTGCATTATAGTAGCTATCACAACCACAGGGTGCAGCACAATCTAGTAGTTGTACAGTACCTACAGTCTTCCAGGAAATGACTCCAGCTACCCTTTATCACTCTGCTTAATGTGATGGTCAGCCCAGAAGATAACGTATACAAAAGCTTGAGCATGGCTGGCTGAGGAATTCTGGGAGTTGACATCCACAAGTCTTAAAATTGCCAAGTTTGAAGGCCCCCTGATCAAGAGGACCCGGATTGTGAGGACAATAAGCTGACATTGTATAAAAAAGAACACTGCTTAGGGGGGTGCCGAAAGTCCTACTAAGCAGGTATATACAAAAGTATGAAGGCTATTGCTTAACGCATTGTAAGCCGCCCTGAGTCTCCGGAGAAGGGCGGCATATAAATCGAACAAATAAATAAATAAATAAATAAATAAATAAATAAATAAATAAATAAATAAATAAATAAATAAATAAATAAATAAATAAATAAATAAATAAATAAATAAATAAATAAATAAGATAAGATAAGATAAGATAAGATAAGATAAGATAAGATAAGATAAGATAATTCACTGTATAGATTTGCAGGACAGCAGGGAGATTTTAAATACAGAATAAAATCCCACTGTTTTGGATATGTGACATCTTAGTACCTGGGAGTTGCCAAACAATACACAGTACAGGGGCTGCTAAATATCATCCAGGTAAGTGACTATGTGCCATCAAGTTGCTGCTACTCTTAGTGACCACATAGATTTCCTCCATATGATTTATCCCTAACCTGCTCTTTTGCGTCTTCCAACAGTTGCACCCATTGCCATGAAACTGAGTCTACCTGCTTTGCTACTAATCTTCTCTTCTCTTTCCTTCTACCTTTCCCAGCATTAGGGCCTTTTCCAGACAGCTGGGTCTTCCCAGAACGTATCTGAAGCGGAACAATTTGGGCCAAGTCCTTTGTGAGAACTTTTGGGTTGATGTTCAATAATTGGTTTGTTTTCTTGGCTGCTCCTGGTATCCTTAGGAGTCTTCTCCAACATCAAAAGTTGAAAGCATCAATACTCTTCCTATGCTGCTTCTACAAAGTTCCACTTGAACTTCAAGAGGGAATACCATGGTTTGCACAAGTTTGATCTTTGTAGGTATAGACATATCACGGCATTGGGGTATCTTTTCCAAGGCCTTCATGACTGCTCTACCAAGTGCTAGGCTGTGACATATTTTTTGACTGCTTGTTCCTTCTGGCACCATCTAGAGCAGGGGTGTCAAACTCAAGGCAAAATCTTTGAAGATAAAGCTGGCAGCAACCCAGTGGCTAGCTGCCAATTCAGACTTTACTCACACAAAACAAAGATTAGACTGCAAGCATTCCAATAAAGCAGGCAAAGTTTCAACAATACAAGGATTAGTCCAAATGCAGTCCGACAAGGCAGGCAGAAGTCCAGTAATGCAGAGATCATGGATTATTTCTAGTTTTTGCTCGTCACAAACTGAACCAGCCACTACACCCACATTTATACCCTGTGGGGTGTGGTCCAGTGACTCAGCTAATCTCTGGCACGCCTTCCCCTCTGCTGCGCACGCTTCTCCCTGCGCTGCTGCCGAGGATCCAGCCAGCACTTATCTACTTCGTCGCTGTCCACCTGTGGCTGCGGGGACGTGCTTGGCTCTGGGCCTATCTCTTGGCCTTCGGTGTCCTCCGGAGGCATTGCCAGAGAGGAGGGTCCTGGAGAGGGAGGTCTTGCCAACTCCTCTCCCTCACTCTCAGAGTCTGCATCTGTCAATAGCCCAGGCTCAGGCAACGGAGCCACAACACCAAGATAAAAACCACCCACTCTCAACTCTATGTGGTCAGCTGTCCAGGATTACATATGCTTGGTGGTTCTGCTTCATCAATGGACTCTCTTTCCAATCAGCCGCCAGCCTCTATTTTGTCTCCAGTGCCTTTCTCCCAGCTTGGAACTGAACCAGATGGATATTTCTTCCAACACATGTCAATGAAGATGCAATAAGACCAGGGGTGGGATTCAGCTGGTTCGGGCAAACCAGATGCTAATTTTAATTTGGTTCGCCGAACCAGTAGTTGCAAGGATTGGCTGACCATGCCAACCCCACCTTGCCCCTCCCAGGAGTCTCCATGGAGCTCATTTTGGATGCCAGGTAAGTGTAGGGCTTGTGCGGAGGCTCTGGGAGGGCGAAAAACAGACCTACCGAAAGTACCGGAAGTCCAGAAACAGGCCCCTTTCCAGGTTCCGGAGGGCATCCGGAGCCTGGGGGATGCTGTTTTTGCCCTCCCGGAGGCTCGAAGAGCCTCTGGAACCTGGGGAGGGCAAAAATGCCTCACTCCCTGCCATGGTGCAGGAAGCCGACTAGGCCATGCCCCCATGGCCACGCCCACCCATCAACCAGGCAGAGAACCGGTTGCTAAAATTTTTCAATCCCACCCCTGAATAAGACCTAATTTGATCTGATCTACTTTGGACACAGGCTCAGGCACAAAGCCAGTAATCTGTTTCAGCCTCTAGCCCAATCCCATTTTCAGTTCAGTTCAGCTCAGAAATTGAACATCTTAAAATAAAAAACTTGACTTTTATTGCCCCTGAGAGATATAAACCATGACTTATCTGTAAACCAAGCAAACTGTGGTTCAACAAGGACAATCCTTTCAAGGGTTGTAATAGGAGTAAAGGGAAGGGAAGGGGGGCAAGACAGGTTCCTATGTCTGAGTGGAGAAGCAATTTTAATTTTTTTAAAAAAACAAAATCCCCGTTTTTCATTTGTTCTAATTTTCTATCTCAAAATGATAGTTTGAGCAAATGGTCAGAGGGAATTTCAGAAGTCTGCTTCTCAAGCATTGATTTCCATGTTCTGCAAAAACTAGCTATGGGTTGATTGAATGTGTGAGTTTCAACAAATCATGGATAAGAATAAACCAAAGATCCAGCTACGGAGATCCTTCTCCAGTCCAGATCACTTGGCAGGATCTTCTGCTTGCAAGCTGGATATTGTCTTGTGCTACGCCTGCGCTCCACTCCTTACCCTTCAGATCTGCAGAGACACCCCCAGTCCGAGGTGGCTGCTCAGGCAGAAAGCACAGCAAATGGCGATGGGCCAGGCTTAGTCTATTGTCCTCTTTATTTACCCAGCTGAATTATTGGAGAAGACTTAGCAGTTTGCTAGATTAAGCAATGAACCAATTTTTTTATGTTTGCATAACACACTGAACTATATGAAGCATCAAGCAAACTGACTTTCAAAGAACAAATCTGTACTCAATCAAAGAGTTCACCCTGTTGTACAGATACATCTGTTAGGTTTTTAACTGAGTTGGGCAAGCATATTTTATAAATTCAGCTAAACTACATCAGACATTCTATACCCAAATGGTTCCAAAATATACATGCAGCTCTACTGTACTGTCATTTATTTATGATAAAAAAAATATACAAATAGTCCTCAACTTATTTTGTCATGTTTATGTAGTGTATATTGGAGGTGGTGATCCTTTGAGAGCTGAATGCAATGAAATTTCATTTTAAAGTATGCCGATTAGTGTACATTCAAAGTGACAATAAAGTTATTCTAAGTCTAAGTCTAACTTATGATTGGTT